GCGTTCAGACGCGCTTATAGGATGCGTCTAGACGCGTTTCTTAATTCTATCGCGTTCGGATGCGTTTATAGGATGCGTCTAGGCGCATTTCTTAGTTGTATCGCGTTCGGGCGCGTTTATAGGCTGCGTCTGGCCGCGGTTCTTAGGTTCTACCGCGTTCAGATGCGTGTATAGGATGCGTCTGACCGCGTTTGATAATTCTATCGCGTTCGGACGCGTTCATAGGCTGCGTCTACACGCGGCACTACACTATGTGAAACACCAAACGCGTCCAAACGCGTTTTTTCTGCGTTTCAGAGTTACATGGGGGATAGATCTCAACTACAACACAGAAGATCTGAATAATCCAATATATCCTGGCGGTTCGTGACACATCAATGGAATGAAAATTGAACATATTGTTGCTACAAGAATCTATTCCCGTTATAACCTTAATATTGACGAATCAAATTTATAATTTCGAACTGTTGTTCATATAGAGCACAATGTAGATTTACTGAAGATGATCGTTGTGTTGTATATCGATGGATTTGTCAGCATTGTGTTGGAAAATGTTAATTGAAACATCTGAGTAAATCAGGTGAAAGAAAAATCTACATGTTTTATTTAGTTGATTCGTCAATTCGAATTTTCTACCACAACAATTACATTGGCTAACCGATATGATACATTCAATCAATTACCATGGTTAATAATCGAACAAATATGAAGTTATTTAGGTGATCAGATGAGTTTAGATCAAGCAAATGAACATTGAAAAAAGTTAATTGACAGAAAAAGATATTTTGCTTCTTTGAATAGCTCTTCACCAACGAATTAGACTTCAATATATAAAATATTCTTTATTTTTTAGTACAAATAACAGCAAAACGGCATTTCAATGAAATGTCAATATTGAGCGAGATGAGATTCTGATCATCCAGAGTTATAGAAAGAAATTTCGTATAAACTATCATTTGATACTTGTCTATCCGTCGTCAAACTGCAGAAATGGTACAACACTATTGGGAAAATGGCTGTTGAATTGATATGTGTTGTTTTACTCATTCGAAAATGTTCCATTCACTTATTTAGATACTATGTAGGAAATATATTATGAAATCATGTTCAGCGATTTCTTATTTTCATTATTCTAATGTCAATGACATGGTGAATCGCATTACTTCTTTGTTCTACTGTCAATATTTCTTCACTGATATATGATCTTCACACGATCATTTCTTTCCAATCTTCCAACGTGGATGACGTATCCATGCTCGGTTTATTCCCTTTTTATGTGATACGATATCGTAAACATCTTACAAAAATGAATTCAAGTGAAATCTTGTACCTTTTTATTGATGTCAGTATAGTCAACAGGTATTATTTCAAGATACTTTCGTAGTCAATGGTAACATCACGCGAGAAAAATTGGAAAGAAAACGAACTTACCATATTACCGAGATAATCATCGCAACACTGACTAGTTTTTATTTCGAAGTATATGCAGGTAGAATAGCGTCATTGATGTGAGTTTCTGTTTGTATAGATATCGATAAATAACTCACGATTTTTTATTAGCACATTTCTCAAAGCAATATGCAATTGTCTTCTCAGAACGTGTGTTTATTTGAATATTTTTAGAGAACGTTTTTGATTATTACATATGTTAGCGAACGATTATATAAATCGACAAGCATTAGACGATTCGAACCATGACATTGGTTCTTATTATGACATACGACGCGATCGATTTTTAATGCATTCCTGCTTAAAAACTGGGATTGTATTAGATGGCAATATCTTGGATATCTCACCTACACGAGTATTGTTTACGAGCATAGTTTTCGTGATACGATGGCTGATAAATTTAAAAAATTTAAAATTGATCTGGATCTATCTGCAAGTATCTTATCTGGTCTGGCAAAACCGAGTGGTTCGTTCAAGTTCTTAACAGAATCCCCAAAAACGAGTCATATTGTCCAAGCGTCCATTTTCTACCGCGAAATAGTCCGATCAAAACAATTCAAGGAAGTCATTCTAAATAATAACAAGAAATTAAACGAATTGATTACATTTAAACGACAACCGATCGAGGCCACGCACATCGTTATCGGTGTTATTTACGGCTTCTGTGTCAGTGCAAATTTCGAACGACGCGTCGAAAAGAATGAAAACAAATGTGAAGTCGAAGGTAAATTAAAAGTCATGCTAACCGAAGTTAAAGCTCTTTCGTCCGGCTCGGGTGAAGCCAGTGCAGAATATAAACAAACGTCGACAATAAGTAAGAATTCATTTCATGTTAAAATCTACACCGATATCAAGTTTACCAATCAACTACCACAGACTGTTGACGAAAGTTTAGCATTTTTTAAAGATCTGCCAAAATCCATGGAAAAAATGACTTCACAAGCTAAGCCAATTGAATATATTCTTTATCCTATTAACAATTTCAAACGTCAATTGAAAATATCTATCGATGGTTTGGACAGTTTGCTCGTAAGTCAAGGGACTTTATGCAAAATTCAATTAGATGCGGATCGTTTACTCGAAATACAACAGAAATATGCTGATTACTTTGAAACGTACGGAAGTGTTTCAGTTTGCATTTCAGATGCAACACGTAAATGCATTGGAAAGCGGCATGTTGAACTGCTGCATGCTCAGGTTGCGTATCGTGAAATGCTAAGCGAAAACTTAGTGAAAGTTCGCAGCAATAATATTGATGAAAGGACATTTCTAGAACAAATCAATACTTCTTGTGATAAACTTGTCCAAATGCACGAACAAAGTTATTCTCAAAACGAACAAATTCATTTTCTTCGTACTGCATCAGATCGTGGATGCATTTTAGTCGATAACAATACTACGGAGAGTCTTATGCTCTCTGAATATGGCGAAAAAGAACAAGATCTATTTATTGGCGTTATCAATGATCATCTCATAGTCAATGATGATGCCAGTTGGAAACTTTTCATGAGGAAATTTACCGATCTTATGCACTCAAGGAAAGACAATGTCAAATTTATCCTTCGTAATGATAATTTAGATCCAACTACTGCAGATTCAAAATTACCAACTAATTTTAGTATTCTTCATTACTATGACAGAAAGTTAATAAGAACGGAGCTTATAAACATCAATGATAATCTTCATGATACAAAACAATATTGCCATCGATGTGGAGCAGAAGACAACGAAGAACGATTTGTCGCGTTTGGACTTGATCCAAGTGTAAGACCAACACCAGATAATAATTATACCGGAAGGGTATCACAGTATGGAAAAGTTATTAGCTGTGAGAGTTTAATTCAGTATGGCGCCACGAGTTTGAAATATTCAGCTGGTGTTCATCGAATTGAATTTCAAATTTTGTCTTGTGAAAGTAAAACACTTCAGTTTCACATGAATATGATTCATAGGTACGATGACATTTCACGTATTGAAATCAAATTCGGTGCACCAATTCTGTCTACTGAAAATTTGTGTGAAGTTAATGATATATTTGAATTAACGATCGATTGTGATGCGTATAAAGTTGTGTTAGTCAATCGAAGAACAAGATGGACACAAGCAATTGGTGTTGATACCGATAAATATCCGTTACCATGGGCTTGTCTATTCAGACACAGCAATGCATATCTTCGCACTCCAAAAGTACAATTACGCATAAATAAAAGCACTCATGAGAGAAATTCGTAAAGTGACCCATTATGTATGGTATATGCTCTGAAACGATTCTAATCGAAACTTATATACGAGAGAAAATCTGACAGGCTATGAATTCGCATTCGTTGCATATTGTGATAAAATCTCAGTGGAATAAATTTGACATGTCGATAATTTCAATCATCTATTCTCGAGCAGTGTATGCTTTGAAAAATGAAATTTTCGAAGCATTATTTTTGTCATTCGAGAGAAGAAAAACATTTCGTAATTCGTTCTGTGGCACTCACAATTGAAAATGTGGGTTCAAATTTTATCTCTTTCCCTGAGATACGTTCAGTCCGTCAACAATGAATAAATATATAATGATCCGACTAGAAATAAAGCAGACAAGATGCTGAGTCAGGCGAGTGTTGAAATATGGCTCCTTAGTGAGCAACACCGCATTTATTGATACAGAAGAACATAAAGTTCTGGGTTATACTCGACCATGAATACGAAGATAATGCGGAAGAATTCAAAAATTCATCAGATGAACTAGTACTTTTAAACCATGATCTTCTGAGGGTAACATCAACAAATGTCCTTTTGTAAAATGTCCTTTTGAATGTCCTTTGGATATTGGTCCTCTACATAATATCCTTCGGATAAAATGTCCAGGATGAAAACGTCCTGAAGAAAAATGTCCTGAGTTATGTGGGCCTTAAGAAAAATGTCCTCCTGATCAAAACATCCTTACGGTATGTATGAACAATTTTCGATGAGAAAATAAAAATGAGATGCAATTTATTGTAATGGATAAAAATTCTGTTATTTTTTGTGCGCCACAAAAAGAGAAAGACCACGTAATAACTCGCGCGCTGTAATTTGATCCATTTCGAATCGTCGGTACAACTCTTCTATTCGTCGTTCAGCCAGTCGAGTCTTCGGTCGTTTAATACGAGGCTCCATACCGCTATTGATCTGGAAAATGATGTCGTGCGTAGTACATACTTCATTCCGAATGGAGTCAATGAATAGCCATATGTTAGGGTGACTTTTGTGCAAGCGCTTCTTGAATCGATTTTTGTATCCTAGGACATCAATGTACTTGTTTTGACTTGAAAGTTTCTCATGAAATCAGCATACCTTCACTGTAGTTATTCGTTCTGTCCGAGACCCCGAACACGTTCCACATCGATGTATTGTGCATCCATTGATCGGTGAAGTATTTTAGGAAATCGAGTAATGCAGGATGTTCGGCTTCACGCAGTTCGGAACCAAGTTCAGCAAATAAAGATGCAACATATTGTTCGGGTACTAAAGCAAGTGCCATCACTTGACGAATAGTACTGCGGATCATTAGATCGTCCAGATAAAGCGCTGATAAACCTAAGGACTGAACGTGTTTGTACACATTTTGAGAAAGATGGAAGAAGCACCCTTTCTGGATAGTCTTCTCTGTGAACTACGAGAAAAGAGAATGATAGACCTTTGAATATCCACCTTTAATGGTATTCGAGACAAACTGTACCTCCATGGAGATTGCTTTCGCAATTCCTGGTTCGAAATCGGTCATGATCAGTGACGGATTGAACGTTTTATTCATCCGCTTCGCTTCATCCGATAGAACATTGAGTAAATGCATGTACGTCACTGCTTTCCGATCACAGAGAAGTGCATAGACGACTGGTATGCCTATTTTGAAGAGAAATCCGTAAGAAAAAATACGACTGCTCGTTTAGCCGCGAAGATAGCTTACAAGTTTCGTGCAGAAAAGCTTGAATGATGACAACTTGATGAAACATTGGTGGAGCGGAACTAAAGGTACCATCCATGTGCAACTTGGCGCTGTTGAACAGCAGATTCAGCAGAGTATCCGATGACCAAACTAACACCCTGCCTGCAGATCGAATATTTCCGGATAGATTAATTCGATGTTTGGGATCATCACTATCATGCAACAGTAATCGTTCAACATTTCGATAATCTAATGTATACATGTCCGGAATAGTAAACGACGTTGATTGTGGTAAAGCAGGGGTCATTTTGCGCCGAGCACGAGTTAAATGGCGGCCTGATTCTAACCTGAGTATAAGAAAACAAATCGTTTCTAGTGAAGTAACGTAACATACCAATATCATTCACGCGAGGCATCACAGCAAGAGCTTCTCCTGTGAGCAAAGCTTTTCGCACTTCTTGTTCAGCAATCTCCTGTAATGGAAGAACTTCATTCTCGGCCCTTTCACGCATTTTCTCCCTGAGATTTCGGATTTCCGATTGAGCTGGATCAGGTAAATGAGAATGACTAATCGTGCTTCCTGAATATTGCAAAAAACCATCGTCGAGAGTTGTATGCAGCAGCATACCACACTTTCGATGCGCACATCTCCAGAACTTGACCGTCTTCTTCGAATTAAAATCTTTCAGTTGAAAATGATAACCGTCGATGACCAACATAGTCTTCCGTTTGTTCGATTTCGTCGTCGTAATGACCGGTTTAGGTGAACTGGAGGACGACAAGGATGAATCTTCCGTTGAAAATGACGACTCGTCCGAAATCACTGTATCCTTCGACTTCATTTAGTAGTATACTCCGACTGCGAATGATTTTACACAACTGACTATATATCAGTCTTATTCGATTTTCTTCAGACAGATGTGAAATAAGTCCTCCGAACAATGTCACGATATATATATAATATATCAAATACGGTTATATTTCAGCGACATCTTCCCATTCATAAGCTCAGGTTGAAAAGGAGAAGTCTCGAGAATCGTTTTAAAAAGGCATTCCTTCTTGTCTAATAGTCGTGTGTCTGATCTCGAAACGAAACTATATAGAATATTGCTGAAAGGACATTTTACAAGAGGACCTTTTTAGTGAAAGACATCAAAGTCGAGGACGTCTATCGTCAAGAAATGCTGTACGAAGATCAAATTTCGGGAACATTTTGCACCAGGACGAAAGTACCAGGGCATTTTGCACCGGGACGAAAATACCAGGACATTTTGCACCAGGACGAAAGTACCAGGACATTTTTTGAAGGACATTATCGCAAGGACATTTGTATACGTATTCCTTCTGAGCATGCAATAAAATAGCAACTCATTTGCATATGTTCTCCATTATGTGCCGCTCTGTTTCTCACATCTTTTTAACCAATATTCATAATAAAAGTAAATGCAGTTTTAAGTAATATTATTTTACACAATGAAACGTCTCTGAATGCTTCTTATTATTAGATATTTACTCGAATGTTATCTCTGATTCGTTAATTTGTACCACAGCATTGCGATTCTATAATACCAGATTAATAGTTTGGGATCGTTTGCAGGCAATAAGTTTTTTCGAATTTCTAATACCTTGTTGCAATATGAAAGTGCCGCTCGATAATCACCTATTCTTGTCAGTGTACCTCCGATGTTGTTGTATAAGATAGCATAATCAGGATGATCTTTACGAACGGCTTTCTCCAGGAATTTCTCTGCTTCTTTAAACAAGGAAAGCGCGTCAGAATGCTTATTCATGTCGGTATGCACTAGACCAATGTTATTATAACAGATATATAAATCATGTGGGTTTTGAAGGTCAGCATTTTGTCGAATTTTGAGCGTTTCTTCATAGAAGGAAAGTGCTTTAGGATAATCTTTCTCATGTTGGTGATAATAGTCTCCCATATTGTTATAGGATTGAGCTAAATCGGAATAGTTTGGCGGATTGATTTTTTCCCGGATTGTCAAAGCTTTTTGATAGAACGGAAGTGCTTTTGAATAATTTTTTGAGCTAACATACACTAAACCTTTGTTATTGTAGCTAGTAGCCAAATCGGGATGATTTGATGGAAGAATCTTCTCCTGAATTTCAAGTGCTTTTTCGACAGAATCGAGTGCTTTAGCGTGTTTACCCAGATTGTTGTATACTAAGCAGACGTTGCTGTAAGTAGTCGCCAAGTCGGGATGGTTTGAAGGAAGAATATGTTTGCTGATATCTAGGTGTTTTTTATAGAAGAATAAGGCCCGTTCGTATTGACCCATACAATCGTAAGTGAAAGCCATATTACTATAAGTCATTGCTAATAATTCATTTTTATCATCCGGTTTCTTTTCATATATTTCCTGGGCTTTGCTATATAGAGTGAGTGCTTTGGAATGCTCGCTTATTTTTCCATACGCCGATGCCAGATTATTATAATAAATCGCCAAAACGTGATCATATGGATGAAGATTTTTCTCCCCAATTTCAACTGCTTTTTTGTAAAATTTGACTGCCTCGCCCGCTTTTCCTTGGTCTACTTTACAATATCCAAGTTGACTGTAAAAGTAGGACTTTTCAGTCTCATTAGATTCTTCATTTAATAGTAGCTCGTATAATTTGTCAGCTTCACGGGCTTCACCAAGTTTAAGTAGCACTTTGCCCAATCGAGACCATCCTTTCGATCCTCTTTGAGTCTCTTCCTCCAATCGATCAGTAAGAGCGCTAAGCTGTGGATCTCTGTCATGAGTCGCAGTGAGATTGACGCGCCAAAGTCGATTGTTATCTCCAATTTGTTCAATTTCACCAATACGAAAAACAGTATGCATCGAAAAGAGAACTTCTTTTTCGTTCGGATGACTACTGAGGCCACCTCGTAGAAAAGCATAAGGAACCGATGAGTTCCTCCCATTAACAGTAATTTTAAAATGAATACCAATCAAATCGGTGCCATTCGTGTTACTCTCAGCGAACATAGACGCGACTTTCTCATCTTTGCTTGTGGACAAGAAATTATTGAATGAGAGTAGTCCGCCTTTCGCTTTTCTCAATTTTTCGAAATCCACCACTGGCAAGCCGTATCCACGGTACACTGTAAATGATTTTCCATGCTTACTGGACTGTTCCGAATGAATCTGCTGAATATTTCGATGGAGATGACACATGAAGAAAGCAATTTTCAATATAATATCTACATCCAGAGTACGTAAAGCTTGATTCACGCATTCAAAAAGAAATACTGTGTTAGAATACCACCAAGTCGGACTGTGAAGAGGATATTCTTTTTCAAATTTATCAATTTCGGGTGTGTTATACGGACATTGATGTCTCCAATAGTCAGCAAACGTGTGGACGCATTCGGTCTTGTCATGGTCAATATCTAATAAACTTTCTTTTAGTAACTGAGTGTACATGAAGGTATGATCAAGTTCGTCCAAACTCGTCTTCGATCCGATATCAGCCGATGCCAAACTAATAGGAACAACATTTTGGCTATGCTGTTGCACGATTGATGCTAATAAGTTGCAAATTGAAGTTAGTTGACTGTGCGTACCTCTCATTTTTCGCCAGTTTTTCATCCATTCGTCATTCAAAGTTTGACTGTTGTCAAAGATAACTATCGAATCGAGTTGATGTAGATCATGAATGCGAGGTACTATCGTCTTTCCGAGTGTATTGGATAGAATAATGAAAATCCGTTCGTTTTTGTAGTTAGTAAGAAAGTTAATGCATTCGTCGACGGTAGTGAATGGGACCAAAGTGCTGTTAGTCCATCGTAGTTGTGTCTTAAAATTCAAATAATCTTCGCTCGATTGATCGATGTTGGAATTTAACTCAATGAGAGACACGCTTCGCAATGAACATCGTTCATCGCTGCTATCTGCTGTTGGGTAGATGAGCGACTTTCGAATATTCTCTCGATACACGCAGTTGCTTCTTGCCAATCTATCCACATTTACATTCCACGTTTCCTTGGAACACATGACTAAGAGAAATATTTTATTCGGAAAGACGCAGTTTTTTTTCCATCGCCATATTTGTATTTTTACGATTGTTTACAGACTCGATCGACTTTCTTTGCTAAAGTATGAGGAAGAAATTCACATGTAAAATCAAAGAATAGATGTCATTGGCTGAAAAAAGAACCATTGAATTATTCCTTAAATGGAAGTTCTCGAATTCGTCCCTTCTGTATATCCTCATTAGGCTTAAGAGTATAAGTCAACGCTTGAATAACTCGTTTTTCTTAGTAACAGATGGCGTAGATAAATTTTACAACTAATCTTTGTCTATTGTCAATCAATCGCTGAAAACTCATGTATTTCATTGATTAAAATTTGTCAAACGATAGATCTGACACTTTGTTGATTGTTTATAGACTAATAAATGCGGAAACTTCGGACTTTATTCGAAAGTAAGGCGCCCTGCAGAAAGTGTATCGAATGGAGTATGGAACTAGCAACGTATCTGCTAAAAATTATTTTTCAAATGATTTTCTTCAGAATTCATCGCATAACTTTGTTCTATTCGACTCAAAATCAAAGATTTATGTTATGACAAAATTTGCTTAGGAATTCTTAGAATTTGATTTGAATATCGTTTATCTCGCGATATTTGAAAAATACATTTCGGAATCAAATTTCTAACGTCAAATCATTGCCCAATAAACATTCATCGTCCTAAGTACAGATCGATAGTCACGTTAACATTGCTTTTGTTATAAGCATCGATTTTGATTATGAAACCTTTCAAAGAGAAAAATTGGTGTGATATTGGGGAAATTCGTTCCCTCATCCTTATATCATTTGTGACTATGAAAAGTGACACATGTAGAGAAAATAAAAATGACGATTCGTTTCTCTCTCTCTTCAGCTTGATTAAGTCGCCTATATAAACAACACTGTCGTTGAAAGATTCTTTACTCAGTCAACATTTTTAATAAAAGAAAATGCTCAACATCAAAATAATCGTCTGCATCATGGTTTTACGTACAATCATTAGCACAAATGACCAATCACAATACGTTCACATCTGCTCGTACGGATAAACAGAATACACAGACAGATCATTGAAATAGGGAACTTAATGAATATTTGGCTGATAACATCTGTAGAGTGAAAGAGAGACTTACAAGTATGTTTCCTTATTCTAATAGATTCCTCAGAGAATGTGAATGGTTCATTAACGGACGTTACACATGAGAGCAGTGGGAAAATGAACGGCGAATTAACGAGTTATTTAGAGAAAAATGCGGATCAATCACAAAAACCTATTCTTGAATTTCCAAACAAACGAACTCAAGATTACGGAGAAAAACCAAAGTCGTTCTGGATAATAAATCTCATTCATTTGCAAAATGTTACAAAAGATTTGATCGAAGACTTGGCTACAATGCCTGAGGTTAAACAAATTCGTCTTGAAGGTTATGCAACAACAGATAAAAAACCTTCGATTTGACTGAATTTCTTATTTTCTACCGCACCTTTTTCAATCTCATTCTTCTGATACACAAAGTTATGTACTATTTATTTTGACGACAAAATCTCGTGATTAAAGGAATAAGAATGATTGTAATCAGTTTTCAACATTGTATTCTTCAAATTTACGTTTCACACCACGAATATTATCCAAGCACAAGGCAAGAAGTTGAAAACCATCTTTAGATTTCATCAGTAAATCATAATCAGGAAGAACATTGATTGGAGTTGAGTTGTTTTTCAGATAATTGATGCAAGCTTCGAATAAATCGTTTAGATCATGAAGTTGAGCTTTGAAGAGAGCTTTAACGACACATTGTTCGTTCATTTTTGTAATCACAAATTTTAAAGATTTCGCTTTGAGGTCAAGTAAGTTGTATTTATCAGAAGCAGTGATGAGATCCAAAGCTATGTTAACGTCTGTTACATTAGAAGTACCAGTGTAGATATAATAAATCATCGCTTCAATAATATCTGGATTTTCATCTTCAATTCTTAACATTCCACTTTTCGTTTCGGACATTTCAGATTCGAGTAAAGTAACGAAATGTGGCCAATGAGTAGATAAGACACATTTATGGACATAGATGTGTTTCTCTTGAACTTTGATAACAAAATCAGAGTAGTTTTGGTTCTCTAAGACTTTTAACCCATGCTGAAAGGGACGTAACATTTCGCCACCAACATATGAATCGTATGGAATCGTAATCGCGCACATGATTTCAACATCGTTTGATAATATATTCGAGTAATCAGAAACAAACATGGGGCTGTCGGAATTTGCACAGCTGAAGTATTGACTGGATCCATTTGTCGAATAGCTATTTGATTGTGTCACTAAATTCGAAAATCGTGATCAACTTTTCTCTAATACAGTTGAATTTAGAGATGAATCGAATCGCTAGATGTACTTTACTCTCGATCTATCCTCTTCCTTGAGGCATTTGTTTAAGTTGACGACGACAGTAAAGATGCGGATGTATAAAATTCTGCTTCAAACATATCTTCGCTAGATGGAACCTTACCTTTGATAAAAGGTGAACTGATGACATTGTTGCGTATGTCTTTTGATTGATTATGAAATTTATAATTCGCAAATACGTTGCCGTTAGTACAAAGTGCAGCTCCAATGTTTTTTTTCTGGTTAGAAGAACGAGTATCATCCATATTGTTTTGAGCAAGGGGATAAAATTTCATGGCCCATAATATCGAAGGAAACAAAGGCATAGAGAACTTCTCTGATCGAATAAATTTTTCTTTTATCGATTTAAAATTAACGATTTTCCAATTCACTGTTAAAGTGTTATTTGTATCGTTGAAATGCGTTGTCAGTTCATCAGCCTATAATCAACATAGATATTAACATTTCTAATATTCAATTCAACAGTATTTGACTCACCATCGATGTCGAACGGTTTACGAAGTTTATGATAAATGTTCTATGTGTATCTAAAGAGATTCAATAAAATATGAGAAAAATTTTGCTTGATTTCTTATTTATAAAAGAGCGCATCTTTTGTTCTACATAGTCATTCTGAATTGAAGAAACAATCTTTGCCGGGCGACTATATTTTAGGCTAACTGAACAAGCAGAATAGCATTGTTCATTGACAACTATGCTATGAACTATCGCTAATTTTCAAGACAAACTCAACACACAAAAAAGACGACTATGAATCAACCAATAGAGGTGTAAATCAATGCCTCAATCACCGACGAATCCATGTGAATCAAAGTCGCTGACATCTGAAAAATAGATGTGGCTGTTAATCAAAAGGTGAAATGATGTTTCCGTGACGTGTGGCCTACTATCGTCACTGTATGTGCTGATTGTTTTAGTGAGCCGTTGGAAAGTGTTGTTACGAAGAACAAGGGTGAGGAAAAGAAACACTTAGCCACAGAACAACATTCTTGACATCTGTTATTTATGTGAACGACGTAAATGTATTCATAAGAAAACCAAATACAAGTCGTTTCAAAAACTAAAATTCACGAATAGCTTTAAGCACCAATATAGATGATATAAACAATAACATATTACGGTGGACGATTTTCATGAGGTTTATCTCTACCGATATTCACTGTAGTTCCCGATACTACATGACTGTGACCACCTGTCGTATCTGTCGTTCTTGCTATTTGACAAGCTCGATTATATGGTGTACCAGATCTAATTCCTCGATACATTGGAGTAGGTACATCATATCCACCAGCATATAGGTTATGTCATTGTAATTATGAGTGTTCACCGTCCACAGTGGTATGTGCTTGGAAAGCATGAAAATGATTTGGCATTTCGTCTGACGTTAAGGCAACCGTGTCTAATCCACCTTGCATACCTATATTTGAGTAGGAAGAAGTGCTGTTGAAAACATCTCGTCCAATGACAAATCGACCACGTAGATCTGATGTTCCGTTTCTTCCATCACAGATATACCAGCCGGCGTGTTCACCGATACCTTTTCCATTCATATTGAACTAGTTATCCATTTCTTGCGAAGCGATCATAACGACAGTGCCACAAGGAAGTCTCGTATTTGCTGGTGAAGAAGATATACGCACGCTTTCCTTTTTCAAATAATCTTCAACATTCTCTCCAGTAATTAATAACGAATATGTTGAAATGATCAATGAAAGCAGTGAAAATGTTTGCATGTTGAGAAGTTTATCTAAAAGAAACAATATTCATTCACTTATCTACTTGGCAAAAATCATCAGTCACTGGACTCTATTGAAGAAAACGCATTCGTTTTCGATCGGTGACATACCAATGAATACAAGCAATCGAACCGAGATTTTTAGATCTCTTGGACAGATGATGTTGCTCATAAATATTGGTTTTCTGACGTATGAAATGGAAGTGCATCACTTTTCGTAGAATGTTGAAGATAACAACAGATTTGAAGGTTTCACAGTATCAAATGACGTCAAAAAATGCACTCACACGAATATTTCAAACTTTTCTTCTTCGATGTAAATGGCTGCGACATATATCGTGTCATTCACAAGCAATAAAACAAAAGCCAAAGCTTGGCCAAGTCTTTTCTTCAAAATTCAGTCACGTGTAGTTCGTTACCAGGACTTCGTTTTGTGCAGTCGTTGAATAACACATTTACCAACGCACATACAAAGAAACCTCATTAGAAAACATCATTGGAGCATGAACGTCATTCACCACCGAGAGTCTTACGAACGGGAACTCCCGTTAATTTTGGGTAACGATGACTATGAACAATCGAATACGAAACTGAATTGCTGCGTGAACAATGCGGAAGAAGTTCAGGCAAATGATTTGATTCTTTTCTATTATTCGGGTAATGTTCATCAAACAAATGAGGAATGTTATCTGATTCCAATTCAAAATCAACATTTGACTAACGGAGAGGCGATTCCGGATCTTGCAATTCCTCTGGAAACCATCGTTCGACGTTTATCCAACGAGAAAAAACAGCCATTTGCATTGATATTCATCCTCGATTGACCAAAAAACGTATCCAACAGGTTTAAAATCATTAGGCAAACCTTTGGATTTTCTTTCTTTTATTTTCAGATAAACATTTTCAAAGGTACGAATTCAAAGAACAGAGCGTCTTAATTCAATTTTCTTCAGAAGATAATCATCTCATCGCAGACAATTTATTGAGCAAATCTTTACTAAAGCGTCTCGATCGAATCGACACCGATATTCGTCAACACGTTCTTCAAATAATTTCAAATGAAGTCTATCTCGAAAGAAATTAACAACAGACACGTCCAACCATCGACGGATTAAACTGAACTCAGCTAAATTATCTCGATGAAATCTCTCGCCGCAGTGGGAATCAATCAGGGTACTTGTTGGAACAACTGCATTTCTCACAGAGTTTGTGTTCGGACGAAAAGGAAGATTCGTTCGTTGTGGACACGCAAAATTATCGAATGATGAAGTATGGCAAAGAAAAACGGATTCGCAAAAGAATTTTTGGGAGAAAATTTTGTGAAAATGCAATGAATAATCAAAGAAATGTGTACGTTTCTGATACGAAGAAACACGAAGTGAGAAAATTCGAAAAAGACGATCGATTTGGAATGATTGTCGCTATGATGGACATGGAAAAGGTCATCGAATGCATCAATTGAACCATCCAACATTTATTTTCGTGGATCGTCATCAATCGGTTTATATACCTGATTCGGATAATCATCGAATTGTCAAACGGATGAAAAATCAGAAACAGGGTAAACTTGTTGCAGGTGGATTTGGAAAAGGAAATGAAATTTATCAATTGCACTATCCGCTCGGGATTCTTCTTGATCAATCGAATATTTCGTATGTTGCAGATCATCGGATTATAAGATCTTTCAAAGATACATTACATGGACAAATCAATATGCAGTATAATGCACATCTGTCGCCTGACAACAAACATCAATTATTTGGTTCAGATAAAATGATTTTTGATCAACAAGGAAACCTTTATGTTGTAAACACGTTTAGTCGTCAAATTCACAAATTTACTAAGAAACTTTCATCTTCGGGTTTGTAATTGAACCAACTGAGTTTGAGTTTGGATTCTTTCGGGACCAAATAATTGTGTGACAACACCAACACGACGACTTCGAACAACACGTATCACATTGTAAAACTCTTGACGAAACAATCGACTCGACAAACAATGAACATAGAATGATGCCTACAATAAACAATATTTCTCAGCAAAATCACAAATCTTTCTCAATTCTTCTCACTGCATAATCGATCGAAGCAATCAGAATGGCAAAGTTGTTGAATTGAAGCAATTGTTCTAGTGTGAGTCTTGATCGTAGAACATAAGTCATGAGAATGTAGAAGAGACTCAATGGAATCTGTGTGATGAAAAACAGAACGATGCTCGAGATCATGATCAACAACATTTGTCGATCGAGAAAAACACGACGACCAGCACCACCGCCGCCGCCACGTCTCAACTGTGTCTTTTGTTGTTGTTGTCGACGAAGTTCAACGAACATGCTGATGCTGAATGCTAACAGAAGCACTGTTGGTAAGATGATTTGCAGAATTGTGATCAAGATTGGCCAAATCTTCGAAACAAAAGTTATAAAATGTTTCGTAATAATTCAATAAAGAAACTCACCGTCGAGTAGAAATACTGATAAGCAGCAGTGGATGTCTGACTGGCAGAACAAACAGTCGCATCACCAACCACTCCGATGAATGGCAAAGCCAGGTGAGAGTTGAGAGCAGCAGAGACGATCACAATGACACATGCACCAATGGTCACTCGTTGTCGTGTGCAGAGTTCTCTGACCCGAAATGGAAATCGAATGCGAAGCCATCGGTCTATGGTGATGGTTAACAGAAACCACGCTGTGCAACACATGCAGAAGTACTGCACAAATGAATAGGCACGACATAGTTGATTCATCATGTTCTTGTTGGCTGTTGACACATTGAGGCCGAGAAAAATGAATGTGTAGAAACATGCGAGAAGATAAATGAGATCGGATATTGTCATGTAGACGAAGAGAGTACTTGTCGATACTTTGCGAAGAGTTTGTCGACGAAAGATGGTAAAACTCATGGAATGGCCGAAAAAGCCAAAAATGAATAGAACTAAATAGCCGTAGAGAACGACATTTCTTTGCAGAGATGTGATAGCAGATGAGCCAGATCCTGGGGGTGGTCCCATTCCTCCACCTCCTCCTCCTCCACCATCCGGTGGTGGTGGTGGAGGTGCGCCCATCCAACCGCCGCCGTCGGGAGAACTTTCATTGCCACTATCGTTGATATTCATTTCTATCTAAATGGGTACAAGACAGTGTTTGTCATGAATATATATGCAGCAACTAAATGTTAATTATCGCAGAAGTGTGACGTAGACAAATGAAATGATGTATGAGACATGAATTGTTTAGACAGTTTTCTGGAAAAGTCTCAAGCCATAAGTGCGTTAAAGATGAATGGATGAATATTCATTTACTTCCTAGAAAAAGTACATTTTTATTTTTTATTAGAAACTCATGATGAGTCTCCAAGTGAACGATATTGAATACCGGTTGATCCTGTGGGAACGATCACTAGATATTGTAACAACAAGAAAATGTGATAAAAAAAGTGTAACACTGCTATAAAATAATCTTTCCCGAATTATCTCATCTATTAGAAGATCATAAAAGACTTCTAGGCGTGCTCTCATTAGAATAAACACACGATCTCTAATTAGAATACTAAAATATCTAATAAAAAACCGAGAAACGCCGTTTATCACGTCTCTCACACTAATTACATTTCAAGATTCTCATTTCTTTCTCGAATCGGAAGAATATCTCTCAATAGATAATCTTCGGTACAACGATCATCACTTTAGAGGAATCAAATTACGAAATGATCTATCGAATGTCGAAAAATATTGATTTTCAACAGATATTTTTACCAGATCTTCTTTTTGGAATCACATCTCAGTACATACCGTGAGAAATTTATCCAGTGCTAAGCTGTGATGACCTGAGACCATTGAATATTACGGTGATATATCGTTCTCTTTACTAAGAGCTCATCATCATTCCAAAGGAAGCAGCCACTTGGAAATATTTTCCTCCAAAACGATGCTATTTTTCATCAAAAACGTCTTCTTGAGCACAACTACAGATTTTTTGCTTATTCATTACTACGTAATGAAATTATTCTAATTTAGAAACTTGCGAGATATGCTCTCTGTCGATCTATTGTTTCAGTCGACCGAATTCACTCATATGTTCATATAAACATGACATGATTTCGTCGTATCGCTAGTGCTTCAGAGTGTGACGAACTTTTCTATTAAGAAATTGGATCCCTTTGCTAAGACAAATCAAGTGCAGACCAAGTTTTTGTCACTTAAAGTCTCTCCAGTGTCGATGTCTTCCTTTCACTTATTCTTCTACTGAGAAAAACACATCCCTGGACGGATCAGCATGCGTCTCGAAAGATCAACTAGTTGCAAAAAAAATTTTGATTAAGGTTTTTCATATGTTACATAACTGAAGATGATTTCGGGAAAACTTTTCCTCGCACTTGACGAGTGGGCGGCGATTTATGTCATAGAAGATCAATCTTCATTCACATGAATAATGCCACATAAATGAAACGAATACTCAGCTCGAGATAAACTGCGTCCAGGACGCTTTCCAACTGCTACATTCGTACCTTGCAAATTTTCGGCAAATCCACGTAACGTGACAACTCAATGACCGAGAGTTTGAAATTCGGCGATTGTCATCTTAAAGAGCATAGTCAAAAGTGTATGAACCATATTTCGTTCGATAAATAAGTACTCTAAATGAGATGATAATAAAGATGTTAGTAAAAACCAGTGAAAATTCTCCTATTTTAAGCCTTCTAACAATCTACTTGTATATCCAAACAGTTTAATATATACAGGACTGATAAAGACTAATTAAGTCTGCGATACTAGGAGTAGCTTTTAGCAGGAGAACAGTTTTCCTATGTGCTGAACTTTTTGACAGTGAGCTTAACCAAAACTGTCAAATTTATAACGTCATCATGTAACGAGAAAAGGATTATCTTTTTTTCCAACCCGTTGGTGTTAACTATGCATGACAAACGCAAGATGCCTAAAGCGAGTCTTTCATGAGCTATCTAGCTCGTGTACTTTTATCTGGAAAAATTTCTTTATATGGTGGCTGTGCTTCACGCGATGACACTTTTTTTACACCTATTCTTCATTCCTCATATTTGTACCCGTGATTTTTTTGGACAAAAGTACGTTCAAATCATAAAATCAAGTCTATATTCGAGATTATTTAAAAGAAAAACCTACGTCAAATTCATCGCAATTTCGTCGAAATTTTAGCATAATTGTTGGTCAAAAATTCGAGTGTTATTTTTTCCCCTATAACTCTCCGAAATCGATGTAGTTTTGGGCGCTGATATCGAATATGAGCTTAGTATTGCGATTGGAATCTACTTTTATCGAGAAAATTATGTAAGAACTAGCAGAGATCCATGCATACTGAACGGTTCTTTTTTAATGCAGCCAATGTTCTTGTTCCGTGACCTTCGACCCTCAACACCTCTCCCAAACGATGTATTATGACGTTTTAAGCATTTTCGAAAAAAAATGGTTTTCTGGCCTTTGACTTTTGATCCGGTAACATAAACACAGACACTGAACATTAGTATATAGAAGTACGAAAACGTCATCATGCTGCATTGGCAAACAAGATCTCTAATACAAACTATACCATGAATTTGAGCTTTTTTTCTTTTCTTTACTACCAAATGTTTATAGAAAATTTCTCTCAAGAAATTGTTCTTTCGCAGAAAAATGAACAATGAAGAGATCACCCTCGATTATTTTGTCCGAATTCTATCATCATGTTCCGCGTAGTATCATTGCCACAATTTTCGACCAACTACGCTAAAGGGTACAGAGATGCCTCATTTGATGAAACAAACGAAATTCTCAACGTTCTATCCTTTGAGAACTTTAGCGACTGGAGCGTCGTCGTCTCAAAGCAAACAGGGCAAATGAGCCATCAAACTAATGTATGTGAAACGTGAAAATACCGTATTCTGAACGGGGGGACAATAGTTCAATTACAATTATAACAGAGAAGGATCAAACGGTGTAATTAAAACGCCTCTTTTTATCCCAAGGTAGCGCTTGACATTTTCAACAGTAACGTAGCGGTCACGTATACAATTCACAGCATCTTTGAAAATTACCAAGGCTCTTTAGCCGTATATGAAAATATACAGATCAATGAATAACGATGTTGACTACTTGTTGCCTTCAGTTTGTTTTAGCCGAGTAGATATCGAAAACTTAGCTACCAGCGAACCTATTTGAAATCTACTGAAAGATACAAGACTAATTGGGTGAAATAGTTGGATTATATTGAGATTCATCTTCTTGTCCTACGTATTGATTCATAGAGAGAAAGTTTTCGGCATAATTCATGCAAAATAGACAATCAGAACCAAATGTGACTTGTATTCTTCTGATCAAATTTATTGTCCACACAAAGCTAGGCTTCAATGGAAAGAAAAATCTGCTTGTTCCTGATACGTTTCATCATCAAATGTAGAGATTGGTTAACAATTCTTCATCTTCGAGTTTGAGTTTGGGCTCCCTCAGCACCGAATAGTTGTGTGACAACACCACCCAGGTCGAAGAATCCAATACTCGGATCCAGCATCGGATTTGTTGACCTGGGTTGGAAGCTGCACATTTTCCATGGTTCGAAAACTTTCGAGAAGCGGTTTTCACCAATCGATAGAGCATGTGATAAGGCAGATAACTTGTAAAGAAAGTTTTTCAAAATAACGAATAGTAAAAACGTTAGAGCTGTTTTACTGAGTGTCATTGATTCTTTTTATGCAAACACCCCTCCTTACTCTACTAAATTTTTTATTCTTTTCTATTATACTTTTATCAATCACATAGAGAAGAACATTGCCAGTCATATACTTACAATGATGACAATACTTTTTTTACTCTAATCTCACATTATCTATACATGTAATCTGTTTGCATCTGACTCAATTTCTTTTGAGTCATTATTTTGCTTCACCATTTCTTTCTTCATTTTTACAATATCAATCATGTTCTATTCAACTACGAGTTCGTTTTTACTGATGGATGTGGACCGAGAGAACTTAATATGGCTAGTGTTGATAGTAATGTTACAAAATGTGCAACAGTCAGTGTAATGTGGTATTATCCACGAGATAATTTAACATTAACAATTGAAACATGTTTCACTAAAAAACAACGACCATATGGGATTGAAATCGATAACGATGAATTACTCAAAGGTATACCACATGTCTATCGAATTCTTGGTGGTCAAGAAACAGAAATCACAACAACTGCCAAGAGCATTATTCAAAAATCGGATAATAATTTTCAAGTCGTTCTCAAACTACAAGGCCCTCCACCCAAGCAGACAGGGTTTTCGAAAAACGCGTCTCCACGATCAAAAAGTGTTCTTTACACGCTGAAAACGGCGTTTTTACCGTGTAAAGAACACTTTTTGATCGTGGAAACGCGTTTTTCGAAAACCTTGTCTGCTTGGGATAGTCAAGTGTATAAGTATGATGAATAAAATATTGTTCCCTTTTCTGAAAGAAAGGGTCATAGCGTTCTAAAATTAGTGGCTCAAAACCTAAAAGTTTGTGAGTTTGTCCAATCCAATCAGGTTGCAGCTTTATATAAACCAATGAAACCTTAGAGATAACCATATGGAAAAGATTCACGTGAGGTAATCAAGGTCGAGGATCACGAATCCGATACTAGTTTTTGCATAAAAACTATCTGTTCTGTTTTTTGCGACAAGCGTTCACTTTTTTGCAAAAAGATATTTTTTATAAGGGTTCAGCGATGGGTTTTCGGGGTCGAGGAATCCGAATTTGCAGTTAGTTTCTCGAAATTCCAATTAGCTAATTAATTAATGAATTTTTTTTGTTGTTGAGTAGGGGTTGATCGAAGGGTAATCGAGGTCGAGGAATCGGAATCCGAGGTTAGTTTTTTAATGAACACTCTCTGACCCGTTTTTTACGAGAAAGAATCAATTCTTTAGACGATAATGTTTTAAGCGGCAATATGTCGAACAAAAAATGTAATAGCTGACTGACGTCCGATCGCTGGATCTCCATAGTCACCCGCATATTAATGAGATCACACACTTTTATAAACTTCTATACTATATGACTATCATCTGATGCCAGTCATTCAAAATAAGGTTTCGCTTGTCAGGTGTTGTTTTCGAAAGTCACAGTAGCACAAAGAGGGTAACTTTTAAAGAAGGACTAGAAGAGAATGAATGGAGAACTTTCAAAAGTGGCTCTAGACTAAATGGAAGAGTGAAAATGTACATGTAACGGCTTGCCGCGAGTGGCGGACGGGAGGGAGGCCGACGAGCGACTAGTCGTGGATTTGCAGAGTAATATTTTTAAGAACAAAATTTGTGATTTTTATAGAGTTTTAAGATTTCTTGGTCAGAAATTAATCGTTGCTCTGCACGAACATAGGTGGCAGCCATTTAAGGTTCCTCGTGGTGGAGAGAAGATTGAAACCTTTTCCAGAGAATCATATAGCTATGTAAAGCTTATTAGTTTTTGATTATGAATTGCTTTTCCGAAATGTGCTCATTTTCGGAACACGTCTTCGTCCGAATGAAGTTAAGATAGTAAAATGAGTACGCATGGGAACAGCTAGCCGTGAGTGGCCGACCGAAGGGAGGCCGACGAACAACTAGTTGTTTCTTTTGAAAATTAGTTGAAAAGTGAGATTTATAAGACTGTCGCAAAGTGGCCATCATTTTTCTAAGGTATATATATATATATATATATATATATATGACATCTTTTCGAGCTTCAAGAAAAAACTATGTAGATCATCGACTTATTCAACTAAAAATGATAATAAAAGATATACTGTAAGTCATGAAGTTGTCAAGAATTTCGGCAACTTTGCTAGAGACGGACTCGACAAGAACGAGGTACTTTTTAATATGAAAATATCATTAAACACTTATTAGGTAGCGACGGCTATCGGTAAGTGGTTGACCGGAGAGAGGCCGACAAACGACTAGGCGTTATAATTTCAGAAGATTCCAGGAAGCGAAATTGGTCTAAGTAAAACATTCTGACAAACTATCAAATGATCAGATCGTTCAACTGAAACAACTTTTTTCTCTCTTTGGGCGAAGAGTAGCGCTCTAATACTATCCTTTCAGTAGAGGGTTTAGCGGCTACTAGGCCGCGTTACTTGTAGGCTACATACATCATGTCTTTTTATGGAAATTTAGTGGAAGTAGTTCGCAAAGTGATATACCCGTCGGTAGAATTCCATCTTAGTAATTACAGACGCGTGCACAGAAAAAAAATCAGCAGAATAATCAACCCTCAAAAAAGGTTTATAACTGAAAAATTCGTTTATCAGCGTGATCTACGCCTTGATGAACCCTTTTTTCTTGATAAACCCCAAAAGGGTATTTTATCCGTTGCAAACTGATAAACGTAAGGATTGATTATCTCTTGATAAACCCTTTTTTCGTTGATCAATTGAATCAACCCTAAAACGATGGGTTTCTTAAAGGTGATGATCAACTCTGGGTCTCAGGGTTGATTCAATTGATCAACGAAAAAAGGGTTTATCAAGAGATAATCAACCCTTGCGTTTATCAGTTTGCAACGGATAATAAACCCTTCAAGGGTTTTTCAAGAAAAAAGGGTTCATCAAGGCGTAGATCACGCTGATAAACGAATTTTTCAGTTATAAACCTTTTTTGAGGGTTGATTATTCTGCTGATTTTTTTTCTGTGTGAACTGTAGAAACAGTATTCTGAACACATACAGCACTGTGAAAGATGTTCGTTTCGAAGCAAATTATAGAATAAGACTTTCTTATCTGGTTTCTTTTGGTAGTCGAATGAATAGAAGATCATGACTGTCGAAGCGACAATAAAAGAAAACCCAATCGTTCAGTTTGGAAGTCGATCGAAGGCGAAAGGAATAACAGAGACAGCATGGCAACGGCTAGCCGTGAGTGACCGACCGGAGGGAGGTCGACGAACGACTAAACGTTTATTTTGAAAATGACTTGAAAGATGAGATTTATCACTGTCTCAACGGAAGTCAATGGTTTTTCAACGAACATAATTGATGTGTTTTCGAGCTTCGAGAATAGGGATTGTACATTATCAGCGCTTCAAACTGAACAGAGCCATAGAATATGTACTGTAAGCTACACAGATACGAAGGGTTTTGATAACTTCGATCACAGATCGACTCAGTATCAACGAGCTACTTCTTTTTATGAAAAAACTATGAAAACTGATCATGTGTGTCAACGGCTAGCCGTGAGTAGCCGACCGGAGGGAGGCCAACGAACGACTAGGCGTTTAAATGTTAGATTAATCCTAAAGTGTATGCTTAGAACAACCTTGCCAGGCTTGCAATAGTTTTGAAAGGGACTTGACGAATGGACATTCCTCAATGAAAATATTCGACAAGGTATCATTTCGTTGACAGGAGAGAAAAGAATCGGTTTATCGCTGGAAGACACAAGCGAATGTTCAAACTTTTCAAGTAGTCTACTGTATATCGTCCGTCTATGAGTGACTTAGTAAAGCATTTATGAAAATTTCTATGGGCGTGATGTGAAAATAGAAAGCCAGATGAGAAAGGTCAATGGTTGGCCGTGAGTAGTCGTCTGACTAGCCGTTGAGCGATGAATTTTTCAGTTAACATAGTTGGTGCTGGAGAATTATCCACTGACAAATGGCTAATCGGTCTGATTCCTAAAAGGACATCTGTATCCTATTCATTCTAGTTCTAGTGTGTGACATAGTGCCATGATTCAGTTGAGCACTAGTAGCAATCGCAGTGTGTTTTTTCTCCTTCAAAATCTCTGAATGTGTTCAGCATTAGGAAAATTCTTTCAGAAAAGGGTAAGCGAATCCAAAGGATGAACGTTACTTGTATTCAATGTCTCTTTATGGAATAATTAGTAATTACCTTTCGCAAACGAGTTTTGAACTAGGGCTTTCGAATGGTGCACAAGGAATTTTTCGAGAGCTCCTATGCGATGATCAGGAGGAGCCAGGGGATTTTAAGATAAAGAGCGATGTATTTCCCTCCAATACAATATAAATACGAAAACCATTATATGCACTTGTGGAAATTAATACATCACAAGTAGAAACAAATCTTGATGGTCTTCGCCCTAAACTAATTCCTATTCCGTTATTCAAAACGCGATTCACTGTTCCTATAAAGCAACTCTTCGGACACTTACTCGATCGAGTGCAAAGTGGGAGAAAAATTCCACAAGTCATTCAAGTTACAAGAACACAACTACCAATTCTACCTGCCTTCGCCATAACTACATACAAAGTGTAAGGACTCACAATGAACAAAATCTTAGTCGATCTCCAAGTTCCGCCTGGGACACTGCAAGTATCATCGATATACACTGATAAAAATTTTCGTAGAATGATAAACCCTCAAAAAAGGGTTTATAACTGAAAAATTCGTTTATCAACGTGATCAATCCCTTGATCAACCCTTTTTTCTTGATAAACCCCAAAAGGGTATTTTATCCGTTGCAAACTGGTCAACCCAACAGTTTATTGTCTCTTGATAAACCCTTTTCCCGTTGATCAACTGGATCAATTCTAATCGAAAGGTTTCTTGGAAATGATGATAAACTCTGAGTTTGAGGGTTGATTCAGTTGATCAACGGGAAAAGGGTTTATCAAGAGACAATAAACTGTTGGGTTGACCAGTTTGCAACGGATAAAATACCCTTTTGGGGTTTATCAAGAAAAAAGGGTTGATCAAGGGATTGATCACGTTGATAAACGAATTTTTCAGTTATAAACCCTTTTTTGAGGGTTTATCATTCTACGAAAATTTTTATCAGTGTATGTACCACTCAGTAGAGTGAAGAAAGGGAATGATATAGTTAGCCTTCGATCTTTCGAAATAAAGGTCCTACAAGTTCAACCTTCTTCAGCGCAAGACGCTGAACTGAAACGTTTAGATGAAATTGACAAAAACACAAAACGAGAGTGTACCTCTTTCATTTTCTGAAATATGTGTAAATCGACACTTTTCTAAGAGCCTAGTGTTATTGCAAGCATATAAAACGTATTATACTTTGAAATTAACTTAAAATAACTATTCGTGCATGTTTAATTTCTTTATCTCTTTCTTTACATTTATCTCAATTATTGTAGTAACTGTCTCTTTTCTCTCATTGCATCAGATATTGCCTATCGTGTTTTATTAATTTCGTCTTTTGATTTTCTCACCCATAATCTTCCTAACTGTATCGATATTTCTTCACAATATTTAATGCTCTATTTAACATTTGGTATAAATATCTATTGTTACTTTTGCGAAAATATCTAATCTACACTAAAAATAAATTAATATACACAATAATAGCTTTAAACTGTAATATCTGAAAGCACGATTACTACGAGAAAGAGCTGAGCGGGTCGCTAGACGAACGTTACTTGCATACTTATATGCACAGCATGTTGACAATGATCATGTCATAAATGAGCTATTTCATTTAGGTCATCGGTATTGTGTC